GCTTGCGGACAGGCATGGTGCCAACGCCACAACAATAATAACAATAACGAGAGGGCGTTTGGGATACAGGACATAGGAAAAAAGATGGAACTGTTAAAGTGGAAAATCACAGATAAGTGGGATGACAATTTTTGTGTGTTTCATCGTATACTTTTTGATATTTTTTGATAGTTTATCGTCTTTCTATGGGGCACCGGACTTCAACAGGCAAATCGTACAGCATTCGCACCACTAACTTCTATTCTGGACCATATCTGTCAGCTTCTCGAACCAACGACAATCCTCATTCTTTGGGCCCCAACCTGAAAGGCGGGCCGCACCAACCGAAGCCAAAGCTGAAGCCAACTTTTTCATACCTCTACGCCATGTCATGGTCTGGCCGCTGCGGCGCTTCTTCCAGCCTTGCTCGGCACGTGCAAATGGAGCACGGAAAGGTAGTCGATCGGCAGGCATACGCAAACTATGACCAAGCCATCGGAGAGGGTGTAGAGCGATTACTTCTGTTAGAGAGAGAACTATTATCCCCACCCAACACATGATGACGGACCTCGTCGTTGCTCACTTGATGTTCCCATCAGACATGGGAGATGTTTCGGATGCATCGGTGATCGAATACAGAAAGTCGGTAGGCATCCTCAACGCGGTGGGACCAAGTCTCGCAACCGTAAGGCAGAACACTACCAACCGCGGCGATGTACACCCTTCCCTTAAGAGATAGTCGGAAGTCATGGCGGTGCCACAAATGTCGAAGATTGGCAAAAACAGGTCTGACTTTCGCTGTTCGTGATGTGATCTCCTCCCTAACACCACTACCAGTTGCGATCAAGCTCCCGAGGTACTTAAAGATCTCAACTACTTCTAGCTTATCACCACAGAGGGTTGAGTGCAGGCACAGGCTCCTGCCAGCCTTGAACAAGCACTTTGCACTCGGAAGGTGCAAAGCACATACCATACCTGGATGTCCTTATCGCCAGCCTGACTTACTCCTCACTTTTGAAACGGACTCAACCTCGTTTGTATTTTCGGTGTTTCAGACTAACAATACTTTGTATGGGTCACACATCTGTTGAAGCAAAGCCAAAATAGTATTTCAATGAATACGCAGGCAAACGGATACGTTGTTCCTGCCATTGAGTTAAAAATGCTCATCGATCTGTTTGATTACCGAGTGAATGGCACATGAGCTTCGCCACTATCAGGGTATATGATAATACTTGTTCTTTTTCTCCTTCGGAAATGACTAAATTTACCATAAACCACGTCGCGTGTTTTTCATTAGTCCCCAAATTAGATAAACCTGATGGGTATGATGTATCTCGCGATAGCTCGCATTGACAAAGTGGTTTTTGTTGAATGAACTCTGTCTACAGCTTTAGACTTCAAAATCCCACCCCCCTCCAGACACTGGGGCGGGGACCTGACCGACGAACATTCGGGTTTGTTTTCAGAATGTTGTTCGCTGGTACGCTGATTCCCACTCCACTATTCGGGATCCACCCTTAGCCTAATGCATCCAATGTGACAAGCATAACGTGAACGAGACAGCACCTAATTGGTTCGGTCTTCCCATGTTCAGCGGTCAACAGCTGTTCGGTGAAGAACGAGGGCTCCTCCAACCTTCGGGCGACTCTCAAAGTACTCCACTAATAAACTTCGTGAGCAGTTTTTATCGCCAAACTGCTGTTCTCAATGTTTTTTAGTTGTTTATTTGACCTCTCCATCATTGAGAAGGGACTGTCACAAATAAATTCAGCTGGTGCACAATCATCTTCGTTACAATTAGCTTTGTTTAGTTCCTACCCGTTAACCTCTCAAACATGATTGCACCTGGGACTGCGAGAGGCAAACCTAGTGGTAGCCTGTTGTCCGATCCAATACCTCGCCCAACCTAACGGGACCTGTTGTAGGTCGCCGCCCGTTTCCATTATGGAACAACAAGTCTTTGCGAACATGGGCTCGAATGTTCATGACAGAAAATGCATGTGATTAGAAAAGTTCGCAAGGCTATGGGGCCACGAACACCTTGTTAAAGTACAACCTCATCGTGATTATAATCCTAAATACTGATTGCATATACAGTAATAGGTTCATACCAAATCATTTACGCAAATCGCATCTCAATGTGAAATGCATCGTATGGCCTCTGAACAAAAAACGTCTACGTCTACGTTTCATGCACATGAAATCTGAGCTCAGCTATCGTCATCGGGTACAACTAAAACAAACCCTAGACTACCATTAGTTGTAAAAGTTGGTTGTGGTGGTCTCGTGCGCTCCCCTCCCCCCTGGTTGAAGCGTAGACAAACTAAAGTAACCTGAAAACTGTTTTTTCGATGACTTCATTCCAATCCATCAATATCGGTTAGTGAGTGAGCTCTCACCCACGTAACATCCGATTCTCATATTATCGTTTCCAACAGGTCACATCACTCCGTTCCACGCGGACTGATTTCCTGTCATTTGGCATCGAACGAAGAACTGAATGTCTTCAAAGCACAATTTCTTTGCAGTTTGTAACTCGTGTAACCCGGGCCGGAAAAAAATATTTCTACATTTCTTTCGGGTTGCTCGCGCGTGATTGATCACGCCATAACATGGACTGTATTTTGTCGATCAAGCCCTAGTGTTATTTTGAACGCGGTCATTTTTTGTTCTACACACACACGCAATTCCAGTCTACACGGATGCACATGTGTGATCATCGATCCGTGCGTGCCTCAGATAGAGAAATAAAGCAGACCGAAAAAATGATTCGACTTAGCGGTCCATATACGCGGCAATCCACAGCTAGCTCTCCTACTCTTCCGAGTCAACTGGAACCCCCCACGCCACACACACACGCACTGGACTGGATCGATGTTGTCAATTCACAAATTATTGGGCACACCGGTCACTTTTTATAGACGAGAATGGTTGATGGTCTCTCCCAGCTGTTGGACCTGGGATGTATGTATTTTAGACAGCGATGGAGAATGACTGATGGGGTTCCATTTCGTTGTATTTCAGTTCACCTCAGCTATTCACGTGTAGTTCTGTGAAGGAGGGAATTATCCATACCTGTGGGTTCGTGTTGATTTCTGTGTCTGAAAGATCTACTTCACTTAATATGGACCGCTGCGGTCATACGCACGCGTGCATGCGGACATCACACTCCTCCTCACGAGAACCNTCGCACACCACCTCATTCGTTCACGCACATATATCTGAATTTCCCGGTTTGTTTTTCACAAAACAACATGGCTGTCAGTCGGACGATCCGGGGACATTTCCCTCCAGATGGGGTCACTTTTAAATTTGTTTTCCGATTCACCGCACACCGAACAATCGATACATGTCTCGAATTGAACGCGGGGAGTTGGAAAGGAAGGGGGTGGGTGGATGACGGATGCCCGAGAGCGAGCGAAAAGAAGATCCATTCAAAGAATAAGTGACCTATAGATGATGGAAGCACTTAATTGTGGGTTCTCGGCGCGTTTCTTCTCCGTTGTTTCTCTCTTGCAGTACATGTATGTTCAGTGGTGCTCTGCTCCCCGATTTGTTATTCCTCCTGCTTGGCCTGTTGCACAGACGATAAACTCATCGGCCCTAGTTATATCTGGTGCCAGCATCACGTGAATATTGTATGTGCTTACGTTTGTTGGATCGCTTACACCAACCAGATTTGTTCGTTCTCATTTGCACCGAAGTTCACTCATAGTCGTCATCATTGTTCTCCTCACCGTCATTCGAATACCGAAAACAATGGGCCGATGCCTAGAAATTGTTCTTTGCCTAACCCAGCAGTAGTTCAATCACCACCTCGTGGTTATATCGCTGCTTTCTGCGCTCCCTCCCCCTCCTCTTCAAACCTCGCTCCCACAGCTTTCATCTGCACCATAATTCGTCCTTCCGCCTTGCGTTTTCCTCAATGGTCACATGAAGAACAATTTCTCTCCGCTCTCACACAGTTACTCACTACCCGTGTAAAATGTGTACATGTCTGTGCCTTGCCCATCTGTTTTTCTACAGGCCACGGACAATACCGGACTAGCACACCCGACGGACACGGACAGTATCACGTTCCAGCCGGTAAGTTCATGTGTTCGAAACCATGCCTGCCCGTTCGAAACCTGTCCCATGTCATCCTCTCAAGATCATTGGCGTGATTGCTAGTGCTGTATGATAACTGCAATGCATTGGGAGCTGGTGTCCAGTTCATCGAATTATACGCCCTTTGGTCGGGGTCAAACGTTCAAGGTGCCCAATATACCTCGTTACCCAATGGAGCCGATGATCATTACCATAACCATGAAGATTTGTATGTATGTATGTATGTATGCATGCATGATGTATGTATGTATGTATGTATGTATGTATGTATGTATGTATGTATGTATGTATGTATATGTGTGTGTGTGTGCATGGTTCGTACGCCTCTTAGTTGGTTTGGAATCAGGGTTTTCAGCCACCTCCTTTAGGTGACCTGCCAATGGTTCACCAGCCCCTAGCGGGACTTTATGGGGTTCACTACTCGAAGTCTCAGTGCTTCGTTTGCCGGTTTTCATTAATGAACAGCAGATAATCAAAACTATGATGTCCACCTCGTCTGCTGTTAGTGGCGTAAATGTGTGTGAAAAACGCCATGAATCGTCTCTGTTTTCATGTTCCCGAATGGTGAACAGTCATCTGAACTCCAGTGGAACCACAAGAAAATTCTCCATCGAGTGTTGATGTCAACTCATACATATAAAGACTGAAGTGGTCGCTTAATATTGGAGAACGAAGTGAACAAAGATAACCGAACACTGTCATCAAAATAAGATGTGATCTCGAGGTGAAAACTTGGGACGGTGCACCTCCCACACTTCATATGGTTACTACAGATCATGGTGTGACTAATTTTAGTTTTGTGACGAGTGTGAATTTGCTTTACTAAGTAGCTTCTCTCTCGCGCGCGCGTGAACAAAGAATAGAACCAAGCCGTAACATGTTCATACAAAGCAATTTCTAACATATGGTAGAACCAAAAGATAAGAGATATGCAAAAATATACACTGGCGCCGGTGGTCATTTACACCTCCTCGGGAAGGGTTAATGGCGTGTTTGTCAGCGTGGCCGCTGCTTGTCAGTTACGCAATAGACTTACAACATCGTAGGATGTCGAGACCGTCTTTGTCACATGTCACCGCAAATTGGAATCACCTACATCTCATCGGCCAAGGTGTACCCGGTTCGTAGTCCGAATCGCGTTGGCAACCTGCACGCATGGACTGCGGTACCAGAATTTTTTAAAAATGCTACTTATTTCTCTTTTCAATAGGGATAGTTTTCACATCTGATGATTAATCTGCGTTTCACCGCACGCATTGAGAAATCTGTCACCGGTTTGTGACAGCTTTTTTTACCCCCAAACGTTAAATGATCAGGACACGATCATACTGACCCGGTCGTTATAGTCACGTGAAAGACCACGCATTACCGCTCTCCCTCTCGTATCGAAGAGTTTTCGTGTGTACGTCCGTCTGTCTGTGTGTGTGTGCGCGCGCGCGTGTGTCTGTGCTTATGTCGTTCGGAGAACTAGTAAAGTCCGATCTGGGATGTTCTGCATACTTCGGAACAGGTATGTCTGTCCTCTTTGATAAACTCCGTAAGGTCATTATCATCATATCATTCCATTGTTAATCATATTTCAGGCAAACCCGTATATGGGATTGCCTTTTTGTTTCAGAAAATCGATTGACACGAAAACTTGACGAATAGTTTCACACCTTAATTATCGTTTTCCATAGTCTCTTCCCGTTGGCAACATGACCGTTGTCCGGGCAGCTAAACTGTCCAAGTTTTGCTTGATGCACAGCATTCATCTGCGTAATGGTTAATGTAACTGTTCACTTGTGTTCGGACGACGGACAGTTTTTTTCGATTCCACAAATCTCCTCACATCAAGTTCAGATTAGTTTAAGATTTACTTGCGGAATGAAATTGAAAATGAACAAAGACCGTGGAAACGAACGAGTTACGTGCCTGGTTTCCCGCTGCAATCGCTACACACTGGAATTTCGCCGCACTCTTGGGAGATCGCTTGGTCGATACACGGCCCACGACTAATCAGAGAATGAACACGAAATAGCGAACAAGCTCGCTTTCGATAACTTCCTCATCTGGCGAATACGGTTATATAAATAGATAATGAGCATATCACATTTGCATAATGTTTGACGTGTCTGTGGATTGTATTGTTAGATATAACTGGTTGATTGCGACTCCCTTTCAAAGGAGAATACAAAGTGAGCTAATCATCCGGCGATTGGAATGAGCAATCACACTCACATTTCCGGCGGCACGTTTAAGCCTCTAGTTCACCAATTGGCTGATTATTTCTATGAATCTCAAAGATAAATTGCCTATTTTTACCTTCTCTATGATTGTCTACTCATTTGTTTGCTCATGTTCGGCAAGCTACATTAGTAGAACGATCAGACAGTTTTCCCAGAGGATCAAGGAACACAAACCAGCCTGATTGACTACTAGGATTAGAAAACGCATCTCAAGTACCATTCTGGAACATCTCGCAAATACGAGGCAGACTGTGAATGAAGATGCCCTCAAGGTGATCTACGGGGTGCCTACTTTTCCATCTAAGGCTGTTCGTCAACAACATTTAGCAACAGCTGAAACAGTAGCCATCCGTCTGTTTAACCCATCGCTTTGTTCCCGCAAGCGATTCGATGAAGCATTTCAACTGCCCTGACAACGGAGTGAATTCAGTTGCATGACTGGAACTAACTCTTTCCATGCTCCATTGACCCTTTCGATTGACCCCATGCTCCGAACAGGTGATGGTTA